GTACAGAATTGTTGAACACAAATGACGTCCGCTTCTGATTCTGATGGCATGAATGGGTCAAGAATTTGGGATCAGTTCGTGTGATCAATACTTGCAGACAATTAATGTCACAATTAATATGTATTTTCCCTTCAATTAAGTAATTTATATATGATTTTAATGTGTAATTAATGTGAAGTGTGTTTTATTATAAAATACATGTTGTATTTAAAGTGTGAGTTTTGTTGCACTTTTGAGATCAAAGATCACCATTTGATACAAACCAATGTAAATGTAGTATAAATTGTGATAAATTTACAATATATTAATGCATTAATCAATTACTTCAAACATTGTTTCCACTATAAACTCATTTTTATATCAGTTTATAATTTTTCCATTAATAATGACTTTGAAATTGTTTATTGAGATTAGGAATTGTTATAATAATGCCATACTTTCATAATCTTGATAACTATGTATTAAATTAAATTATGGTAAAAATTATTGTAATTTAACTAATTGTTGATATTCTGTATTTCAAATCTATTTTAAATTAAAAGTTGTATTCACTATGTTATCAATAATGAATTGTTAATTATTTTCATTCATATGATAACTGTTATTAATTAACATGTAATTGAAATAAGGCTGAAATTGAGTAAATGATAATTTGCCATAATCATTTTATAAACTAAATTTTCAAATTAAATAAAATGAATTGTTTAATTTTAAAACTTTTTATCACAACAATTAAAAGTCTTGAAATTAAAAATTTCTACAATATTTTTGAAAAATTTAAAATCTAAAGAGAGAGGCAGTGAATATCACGCATGTCTTCATATCGTCTATAATTTGGTTCAAAATATTTGAAACTTATTTTTATATCCAATGTTTTGCTTCTTTTAGTTCACAACTCAATGGCTTTTAATCGTAAATATATTACATTTTAACTACAATTTAAACCATAACTAATTTATTAAGCGAAGAGTTAACGCATTTATTCAACCATTTTTACAATTAATTCAATAAATGACATGAAAAACACTTTTTGAAACATATATTTATTTTTCAAACATTAAAATATCTTAAATACCGATTGTCTGGCAATTAGTGATGAATTCGCGACAACTTTACAAATATTTATATAAAAACATCCGAAGACTTCCATCGGATCTCCAAAACTATTACAGAAGTCATGTGAGAGGAGTATGTCTTTCGTACGCAAACAAACAGTTGATCCATAAGTGACATACAATTGATTTCTATAGCAATTCAATAGTCATTCGGACGAAGAACCCGAAAGAGTGCGACAATTGATCCAAAAAGGCATTCAAGACTCGGATTGGCTTTTCTATACAAAAGTAGTACTCATTTGATAATTAATAAAATGATTTATTTTTAATTTCAACATTCGGACGAAGAACCCGAAAGAGTGCGACAATTGATCCAAAAAGGCATTCAAGACTCGGATTGGCTTTTCTATACAAAAGTAGTACTCATTTGATAATTAATAAAATGATTTATTTTTAATTTCAATTTCTAATACAGTTTGGACTCAAAAGACAGTGATTTTTATTAGTAATATTAAAACAACGATATAATTATCAATAAAACATTAGTTAATTACAAATACATATGTCATTAAAAACAACACAAAAATACAGTAAAAATATATATTGTATTCAAATATACAATTAAATTATACAATAATTAAGTGTTGATATAATTAAGAGGCGGACACTTGATTGAGAGGTCCCTCCAAGTGATTGGTAAGTGACTTGATCTTCATCTGAAGCATACCAAACGGTACCGACTTTTTGGCCAAAAGACAAAGCAAAACGTTGGCCACATTCGCCGCCACAACATTGCCGTCCTATTCAGTAATCAAAACAATACATCACATGAGATGATCATTGAGTGGTAGAACCGACGGGTCATCTACTGATGCACTCATACCTGACATTCAAACATCACAGACACGAGTCTGTCCTCATTGAGAGCCGTTTTGCCGTACTTTTCATACGACAGCCAAATGCTGGAAGTGATGGCGGCTGTCATTCGGGCGTCTTTGTCACCGAA